ACCCATATAGGAGCGAAAGAAAAGAAACAGTCGTTTTATTTGACACAGTTTAATATACATTTATACATATACATATGTATACATAGTAGATATATATCGCACGTTTAATAACACTGGTTTACACCAAAAATGTTCAATGGATGCCACTATCGAATTTCTATATAGAATTACTCGATTATTACGAAAATCGAGTTAATTTTTTATTCTATGGAAAGGTTTCGATATATTTTCAATTTACCGTTATTCAGCTTAATATGAGAAGAAAAGCGTGTTACTCAGGTATACATGGCGTATGAGTAACATTTTTTCCTGCCAATTTTTCATACAAAAAATCTTTGCGCATTTTCATTTGACTACTAATTACTTCGTTATTTATCCATCGATTTTATTCAATAGCAACTTGATTTTTATTTTTTTTTTGTAATAGAATAGGTTTTAGCGCGAATGAAACAATTTTACACAGAACCTGATATTTTTTTTTAATTCATCTTCTGTTAAAGTTTGATTTTTTTCATATTTTCATAAAAAAAAAAAAATCTGGAATGATAAATCAATTTGTCAAATACTATCAGACCTATCGAAAAGTTATGTATACAAAGTCTATGTAGAATTTTGTAAGCTTTCATTTGCCGTGTTTCATATTATGATTGTTAAATGGGTTCGTACGATATATGTACGTGATTAAGTGGAACCACTTTTTGTTCTTAGCTGATTAACGGTAAATTGAAAATATCTCGAAAACTTATCAATAGAATAAAAAATTAACTCGATTTTTGGAATCAGCAGGCGATTTTACATGGAGTGTGGGTAGGGGCATCCGTGGAACTAAAACCAAACACAAACTTGTGATCCACTGTATTATAACAAAGTGTTTCATAATTTAAATTTTGTGGGAAAACTCAATCAAAGTTTTATTAATGCATACAGTTGGTATGCCAAAAGGCAAATGGAAAGATTCTTGCCATTTTTTGTAAGTTTTTGCTTCTGTTAGGCTGAACATATTCTCCTTATCAAGTTTATTAATTGGCAGATGAAATCTCCAAAAACGTAAATTTTGAACTACATCTCTATACTATTAAACGTGCGTTATGTGTACATACTTACATACATATGTATAAGGTTGAGTCACAAACAATTTTTGTATTACTATCACAGTGTGAGAGCTTATCCGTCTAGCGCTGAAAATCGCCAGAACCGCGTATTTTCACAACTTTTTTTTTTATTTATGAATTGCAAGGGATAGCGTCATATAAGTGTTCATTTTTAATGTTATTAATACCACTGTGTAACTCTTCAAATGAGCCTCTGGTTGAGTGATTCCGAAATTGTGTGTTAAAAATTGTTTCTAATGATCTAAAACTTTCAAATGATTTACAAAAAAAAAATAAATCTATATTTTCTCTCAAACCCATTTTTGGCCCATACGGGTTTTAAACATTTTAAGAGATGCATGGTTTTTTCCTATTTTGGATTTACTAACTTGGGCTATTCTCATCGCTGTACGTATTCCAGACTGTATTTGACCCAAGTGAACAACACCTGTAACACCAACAATCTCCAACACGCCGTCGTAATGATTCGGTGTAGAAAAGTTGTCATCCTTATCAGGGCCCCAGGGATTAGCGCCGCTGCCCCAACTGACAATGAATAAAGTAATTAATATATATTGATTAACAATTCGATTTTGTAAACCGTTGCTCCGTTTTTTATGTGCATATGTTTGTGTGTACGAGTGTATGTGCGCAGTACGCTTACTTACCTCAAAATATTTAAAATAATTATGCCCTCAACAGGTGGCAGTTCAACGACTTTGCCATCAACTTCCAATTTTAGTTCTTTATGCAGGTCTTTAACGGTCTTGCGGCCAACAATTTTTCGCAGACCCATCTTTACATAATAACCCTTATTGTGCAGACGAGAATTGAATTTGTTGGGATTTTCCTCTCGAGCATTGTGGAAGTCAAGGCAAAGATCGGCATCAATCCCGATACCGAAGTAGTTATTCATCACAAAAATCTGTGAATTATCCTCATTCTGGGCACCCCCACCTATGGAAATAAACATTATTTTATAAATTAACATATTAAATTATTAAATTGTTACGTGTGCAAATATACGTAGATATGTAAGTCGAAATTAAGGAGTAGTGGTGTAAGTTTATAGACATTTACATACATATGAGCATGTACAGCAACAACCAAACACAAGTTAACATTTTATTTGTTGCATTCGTTTATGGAGTTTGCCATTACAATCGGTGCGTTATATGTTCTAGTAGTAAATATGGTTGTAAGTATGATTTAATTCATATGTATGTATGTATGTATGTACAGTGTACATGCTTATACATTTAAGCTGACAGAAAGAAATTAAAAGAAATTAAAGCAGGTTGACAAAAAGTACATATTTGTACATATGTTATGGATGTAAAGACCAATAAAAAGCCTCGACTCTTATGCGGAATATCATTAGGCGCAATGAGTCAAAGTCCTCATCAGTGGGCAAGGATTTACCTAGTAGTAGGCGTTAAGCATTTTCTTTATAGCTCATAATTGCGAGTGTGTTCCAGCTAGATATGGGCAAAATACGTGATTTTCTACGTGACACGTTGTGTCACGCTTTTTCACGCGTGAGCGTGCGTGGTTTTGAGAGAAAAATCACGTAACTTCCGTGATCATGCGTGACTGAAACTTTCGCTGGCGTGAGCGTGTGTGAGTTAGATTTTCCGTCAATCACGTAATTTTCACACATTGAGCCCTCACCGCCAAAAAGATGTAAGCGAAATTTTTTTCAAAATTTTCTTTTTGATGCAAAAATATTCCTAGAGCATCAAGATGTATGGGAAAGGCTTCCTCAAGTGGGCCCCGAATTTACCAAGATTCATATTTTTCAATGATATTCAGCGCCGAGTTTTGTAGTCGAAAAGTACACTGTGTAAATTTTGTTGCAAAATTCCAAATAGTTTTTTTTTGAACAACAGTTGTAAATTTTTGCAGTGTTTTGGAAATTTTTATTTTTCTTTGAAATTAAGTGTCCGAATGAAAAAATTTTTTTGGGTGCAGATTTAAAAAACATTAAACTATACAATGAAATTATTTGCGTTACAAAAATATTTTTTGTTTTTTCGCTTTTCAATATTTTTTTATGAAATATTGAACATTTAAGCAATTTCTGCGCCTCGTGGAGGAAAATTTTCAACAACAGCTTATGTAATAAACATTTGTGCATTTATCTATGAATAAAAATGCGTGCATTTCGCTATAGTTTGGTCGGAATGAATTTTTATTGGCAGCGTGCGGGCCCGGGTGGCAATTTCTAAACTGGTGAGTATCGTTGGTCCACATTCTGTTTAGTCACCTTAAAGCAAGCATCGCAATGTTCTGATGGTTGATTTAACGGGAGTAATTTGACTTTGATCTCTGGTGCCTCCGAATCGACGACTTTTAGTAATAACTCGGCACCACTAAAAATTATCATTAAAAAATTATCATCAAAATCGCTTCGGTCGTTTAGGAGGAGTTAAGCCACCAGAATAAGCCTTTTACATACTGACACTCTTCGGCATTTTTTCCCATACAAAAAAAACTATCACGCACTCGTTATACGGAGAAAATGCGCAACATCATCAGCGAAAAAATTCTCAAAAATCAACGGCTTATTGCCATTTAAAACTTGCACTTTATGATACTGAAATTGAGTGAACAACAAAACTGCATACTAAAAATTTGGTGCCATTTGATGCAAAATGTACTACAATTCTATAAAAAATTAACAAAAAAATGTATTATGAAAAAGAAAAAGAACAATGTATTCTGGGTGTATATATTTACAGATAGGTAAAAGTTTCAATATGTTTGGTAAGCGCCACGTCCCTTTTCCAGTAGTCCCAAAATCTCTATACCAATTTCCAGGACACTATGACGGTATGAAAAATTCGATATGTATGGGTGATGCCACGCTCCCTTAATATATCGAAAGTCTGCCGTTCGCGAGATCACCTCTTATAAAAAGAAGGAGCTTCTATTTATATAATTAGGGCCATATTCTATATCACGAACGATAGGCAAAACGAACGATTCGTCTGCAGACGACAACCTCTCTAATTGCGATTTTAAACTCTATCGGTCGTCTTCGTCTCGCTTTTCATACATTACGTTGCAATGGTTTCGGTTGCGTTCAAACCGGCTGAAATGATGCCGCCGGACTAATTTTTGAAGCATTCCTCTGCAGACGAATCGTAGGCTTTTTTGTGCTGATTACAAATTCGTAGGCATAAAGTTTTCATCAGCTCCAGATTTTAAGAAAAACGAGGTCAAAGTGTCAAAAAATCGCGTTTTTTTAATATTTGAGAAGCTCTAGCAAAGAAACAAAATTTTATTTTGTATAAACCACCTAGCAATTACGAACAACTAAAAAAAAATTTAGCCAAATCGGCCCAACCGTTCTCAACTGATGAACTACTACACATTTTTCACCCCATTTATATATATGTATATAGATAGATAGTTCATTATTTAACAAAACCCGTGTAAATCCAAGTTTCCAAAATGTGCAATATTAAAAAAAAAAATTCAACAAACTTTAGTACAAATTTCGAGCTTTTTTAAAAAAGCTTGTTTTTAGCCATTTGAAACGTGTACTTTATTCTACTAGAATTCAAAGGGCTACAAAACTGCATACTCGAAATCAGGGACCGAAAATAATAATTATTTCAAAAATTTTAATGAAAAAAATCAAAAGGTTCAAAATATCGTAGAACAATTTCGAGTATATAAATGTACATGATTTTTCATGCTCTGTATGAATCTCTTACGATTTCAAAATGTTTGAGCGATATCTATAAAAATTATAACTAATGGCGCATTTACATGGTATGAAGCCATATGAACTGTTGATACGTTAAAATAGAGGGACTACATGTTCTAATGAGGAATTCAATGATAGCGAGTGGGATGCATATAATAAATTTTTTCATATGAAAAGTTATGGGGAGATACTGTAAACATACTGTTGTGATACTGTTAAGCATATGAAATTATAGCAAGTTGAATTTTCATACATCTTCCCATAAAAAGTTTAACAGATGCAGAGATACCAAGGGGGTTTTTCCCATTTTGATGCCTTTTTAATATAAAAACCCACCAAAAAGGAGGAAAGCGGCAACTCCGCCATTCACATACATGTCAAAAGTATGAATTTTAAAAATTAAAAACAATAAACAAACAAATTTAAAACAAAGAAATTCTTTGTACTAGAACTTTTTAAATTGAAGCCACTCACGTTTAGTGGACAATAAAAATACGAAGAACATGATAACAAACTTACAACAAGACATTACAGAACATTTTAATGAGTTTTATATCACGTTTAAGTAAAAATAAGCTTATATTTTCCAAGCTGGCAAAGAAATGAAAATGTGTATTTTTTGTTGTTTACACAAAGACTTGCCAAATATATATATAAGTCAAAATTATAGAAGGCATGTATACTTCTCCCTTTCATTTTTTCATACAGTTTATGCTTCTTTCTGGCTTTTACAAAAATGCAGAGATACCGCACTTATTTCGGTACAATATGATCGAAATGCATTTTCAATTCGAAATCAAACAAAAACATCCCACGAAAATGTTTGCGATTTTAGAACCATATCTTACAAAGTTCAGGGTATTAACGAAACAAACAAGCATTTTATGGCTTCATGTTTCCTTCAAACCGCATTGCTATTTTTTCTAACTTTTCCTTTTGTTTAGCGCTGTAACCTATTAAGTTATATCTTTTAATTTATACATGTGAACTATTTTCAATGAGCATTTTTCCATTTGCTCCAGAATTTTGGGTACATTTTCTTATAGTACCTCTCATTCTTTTTTATATTACATATATACACTCCGAAGTTCGGGAAAGTATTTTGAATATACCAGCAATATATGTAAAAGTAGTGGCGGCTGCTGTAGAGCATTACGCAGAGCCTGAGTTCAAGCCCAGTTTTTCTAATAGTGGTTGCCCCTCTGTTGGTAATAGTAAACCTCCGAGTGTATTCTGTCATGGAAACAACTACTCATTAAAATACAATTGCCGTTCGGAGTCGGCGTAAAACTGTCCTTTACTTTGTGTGACAAAATCACGCACGCCGAATATCGGAGGAGAAGCTAGGCCAAACACTAACATATTGTTCAAGCGATATACATATTCGTCGTTTAAAGTACAAAAGCGCGTATCGTGGTTCTGCAAAACCTCGGAACTGAAGTTTGTGCCAAAAAAGATATTTGGTCATCGGAAGCTCCTGACATCAAGCCCTTAGCCATTTATAATAAAATATCGATAAATAAAATATCGACTTAGACATAAGGAGAGAAGATTGTTAAGTTTAAAAGAGAGAACCGTTTTTAATTGGGACCAGTTTCACTCTCTCCTATAAAATTTAGGCAACCTCGCATACGAGGTTTTGCATTTCCTTGATGCGCGGTTTTGTGCTTTAAACGAAGATATGTAGAAGTATTGCATACATATTTTGGTGCCTTTTCAAGTATAAAATCCACTCACAAACGGAAGAAAACGGCATCCCTATGATTTCAACTTATGCCAAACGTTTCGTAAACAAGCAATTCTGAACAAAAAACTGTTTTTCCACAAAGATGTTTAAATGGAAGCATTACAAATATGGAAAAATAGCAATCCACAAGGCTTTATTGGCAGTAGGTCCTTTTTAAAGCACATTTAACAAAAAAATAAGCTTCTAGCTTCGAAGCTAGCACAAAATAAAATTTTTTTATTTGCTGTTTACAAAAAAAATATTGTCTAGTATACAAGTCAAAATTGTTAAATATATATCGCTTTCATTCATTTCTTCATAGAGTTGGTGCTTCTTTTATAGGAAAATTCATACGGCTTATGAACAGATTCATACCATGTAAATGCACCATAAGAATTACATTTCGATTTTAAATTAATCGCTCAAAAAAAAAACAAATCATATTTCGAGTTATATTTTTTGATCAAAAATAAAACTTATTTTCGAGTTTTATTTTTTTGCTCTGAAGTAATAATTATTTTGTGAGTGGTTTTCTTTTTGATCAAAAAATAATCATTATATTATGAGTTTTATATTTTTGATCAGAAATAATCATTATTTTTTTAGTTTTAGAAGAAAACAACTCACAAAATAATTGTTACTGCAGAGCAAAAAATAACGCTCGAAAAATGAGTTTTATGTTTGATCAAAAAAATAAAACGCAATAAATGATTGTATTTCCTGAGCAATACAATAAAACTCAAAATGTTATTATTATGATTGATCGCAAGTATTAAAATAATGATTAAAAGTTAATTTTTTTGATAAAATGCATAATGATTCCATACTCTGCTCAAATCTAATTAAAAAGCTCTAAAATTTTTACAAAAATTTTTTGAATTTGTTTTTAATTTAATAAACTTTTAAGGTGACACTGGATTGGTACCAAGTAATTTTGGGTAGAGCTTTTTTCATCCAAAATCAAGTTATTTTAAACAAACTAAGATGGTAGGCGACTGACAGGTGTTTGCCTACCAGATCAAAAATGGAGGTTTGTGCAACTGCATGTAATCTGAATATAATTAAAAAAATGGAAGTATGCATACACACATATGTACATATGTACACAGAAAAAATTAGTTTGAAAATATTTCCTGCCGGTGTTAGTTAAATACTATTAAGAGAGGTTTGATTGCAGTAGAACAGAGTAAAGAATAAAGTAAAATATTAGCAATGTGGAAAATAAAATCAACCAATTTTACTTGTTTCAACGACTGAAATGCCAATAGAAATTGTCAGTGAAAATAACGATGAAAATAATAATGGCAATAATAATAAATGATAACAATTAAATTAAAATAATAATAAAAAATCATAATCATAATTATTATAATAATATAAAATGTTGCACATCAAATGACCTGATAATTCACTCGATGTAATGGCCGGTATTTGGTGGTGCTGATTTGTTTGTTGCGAAAGGTGTGCTTGGTGAGCCTTCTTCTTCTTACCCGTTGTGTTTGAGGGCGCCTTAAGTGCAGGCTCTTCCGGTTTATCTTCCGGATGGAACACCACTGTCCAACGATCCAAGCGTATCTCTTCAGCTTCGATAACATCACGCAGCAAATTTAAAGGATCTTCACCACCCGTATACCCAGAACCCCAACAAAGGACTCGCGCCAAATCGTTACCTATTTACATATACAAAGGCATTTAATTTTTCGCTAATAATAACTTATATTTCGCTTACCAGTACCCAACGGCACTATGGCGCAAGGTGGACTTGAACATTCTGAATCCTGCCCTACATTGTCCAAGCATTGCAATACCCAGCCGATAGTACCATCACCGCCACATACCAATATCTTGTAGTTGGCAATTTGACGGAAAACGTAGAGACTAATAGAGAACGTATATAATTCTTTAAAAATCGCACGAAACAATATATTTCTCGCTTACCCCGGCAGTGGTCCACCATTATCCAAGTCAAATACTTGGTATGGATTTAGCAGTTTTCTGAAGCTCGATATAAGTTCTAATCCTTGACAACCGCCCGATTTCACATTAACAAATACAAGTAGTGGTCGTACATCCGACGGCACCATGCTTGGTTCAATGTTTGGCAATAACATAACCAAAAGCTTCTTATCCTCTATAATAGTTTCACGTAAATTATAGAAGGCTCGAACCTAATGAAAATATAGGACAAATTAACACCTACAAATCGACGTTTAAAGTACGAAACCGCGTATAGTCGTTCTATAAAACCGCGTAACTGACATATTTTGCCAAAAATTTGGGTTTGCTCACACAAGCCTTATCCATTCGTCCTGAAATATACTAGCCAGAAATGCGATTGCTTTATAAAAAAAAACAATTTTGAAATAAATATGCGTGTTTTTACTCTCTAGAAAATAATTTATGCAACCTCACATACGCGGTTTTGCATTTTGTTGATACGCGGTTTTGTACTTTAAACGACCATATGTACTATGTATAATTTTCCAATGTTAAATGATGATACATTGTATAAACACATTTAATAACTAACGGTGGCAGTGGGAATGCTAAAAAATACGCTATAGATAGAAGCCCACCGCGCCCCTCCTAAAAGCTCAGTCGGTTACTATGCAGAAACCGCTAGTGTGGCACTCTTAAAAAATTTAAAACATTCAGTTCTGCACTTACCGCCTTTTGTGCATCTTCGAACGATAAAACCACTGAACCGTATTCGTAGTAAATGGGACCAATGCTGGTAAATTTGTTTTCATCGGTGACATACTTGTTTAAAATTTGTTCGTAGTTGCGTTGTGATAATCCCGGTGGTAAATTTCCAACAAACAACGCGATATTTGGTCCGTGTGGATCCTGCTTATGTTGCATATAAAAACGCATCAATTCCATTTGTCTGATGGAATCCTTGCCCAATTGTTTCATAATATCCCATGGGCGTTCATTCCACGATAGTATGCGCTCAGTGACACCACGATCTAGCAATACCTCGGAACATCTATGCAAATAATACACATAAAACAGAGTATAAATATATGCATGTACGTACATGCATACAGATTAAAGGCCTGCAAATGTAGAACTATAGCGACATGTGTGAAATCATGCCAGTGCCAGTTCATACCACGTCCCTCATATGTACGGTGACCATATTAACCAACGTAAAATAAAGGACATATTTTCAAAATGATTTGGAAAAACGTACATCAACTTGTATGATACAAGTACCTCAAGCATATTTAGATCAAATATTTACCAGTTAAATAATTATAGTATTATTTAATTGCGCAAGTTCCACTTCTCGAAAGGCACTGTAGCCGGATTCTAACCGATTCCGAAAAATCAAACCAAATTCTCATAAAGGACTTCGCCATCCTTTGCTGCCAAAATGCCTTTATCATTATTCATACTTCACGACAAAGCCAGCGGGGGTTTATTGTTCTTTTCAGTGGAACTGGAAACTCAGCGTCCTTTCGTGAACAATGAATTTTACTCAAAGTATATAAATTTTTTTATGAAAATGTAAAAATATTTATAATTTTTTTTGTTTTAATCATATAAATTTCCCCCACCAGTATTAGCAATGATTCGTGATTTATAGATTGTACAAAGATTACCGATTAAATAAAACCCTTAAGTGGGGTGCGAAAGAAACTAGCAAAGGTTTTCATTATATTTTATAAGGGGCGTCTTTTATTTTGACAAAAATTATATCGGACAGGCGGTTAAAATAAAGGACTGCCCTTTAAAATAAAGGACGGATGGTCACCGTACTCATATGTATATGTTTGACAATGACATATGAAGACACTGTCGAATAAATTTGAAATCAAATGATGCATCAAATCTATGCATGCCAACACAAACGAGACATACGACATATTCAGCATTATTAATTACATTGTATATATGTACATATGCATGTACGTGAAGAGATTTCGCAAACTCCTATTATAGTACAATTCATTAAGCAATTGTCTAATTAAAAATCTATATATCGTTGATGTTTTTGCAAAACCGCCTATAGACCAATTGCAAAACCATCTACCTTACGGCACTAAAATTTTACCGGAGAGCAAAAAAAACGGTTTATTCTTAGAAGGCATTGCCTTAATAGGCGGTATTTTCTTTAGCTATTATTTTACAAATCTGTTGTTTTAATAACGATTTAACGATTTTTTTGCATAAATCTCGATGCCTGGAGTTCAGGGTTACCAAATCTCACTTTTTCCACAACGGCGATTTAGGCGGTTTTGCAAAAACATCGACGATATATTTTCTTGGAAGGTAGGATCATTCGAACTGTATTAAAAATATGCTGCAGAAACACAACAGCGAATAACGGCTTAGCTAAGTAGCAATGACATAGGGCTGGTTTCTCCAACTCAACTTAACTTAGTTAAGTAAATTTTCTTGACTTAGCCAAGAATAAGCTGTGTAAAACGCAGGATAACTTTTGACTTAAGTCCAAAAAGTGACTAAACTAAGTTAAGTTGAGTTGGAGAAACCAGCCCATAGTATAAACAATTTGTCTGAGTTGACATGAAAGCAATGCATCAAACTTCGAAAATGACATTTTTACAGAAAATTTTGAATTTTGCAATACTTTGATATATGTATATCGTCACCTGAAATGCAAAAAGACGTAACAACAACGTATGTATATGAAATGGAAAAAGTCGTGACAAATATTTTCATTTTATTTTTTTTTTATTAGTTATGACCTTGTGCATTTCAACGATGATGTTTGTAAGGTCTTTTTGCTATTCAGGTGACGATATCTAGATCTGCCGTAATAATCATATCTCCTGCGGACTTTACCTGTAATCTTGAATTTGGTTATCTTGTAAACCAAATCTATCAAGCGCATCTCGAATCAAATCCTTAATAATAGTTGTATTTTCAACAGGAACATTGACGTATGGCTCTTCCAGTGAGCATTGCAGTTTGCCCGGGTAAACACGAACGTATCCCTTATCTTTATCATGAAACCTTATATATATAGCTGGTCTCTTGCCTTCCAAATGCGTCAAGCTCATGACGGGCGTTGGATCTTGCAAAGGAGCGTCCTCTTTGCCTGACGGGGCATATAAGTCGGTCATGTAAAATGCCTTCAAAAAAAAAAAATATAATAAATAAAAATAATAATGCATTATCTTTTTTTTTTGTTTATTGGTCGTCGAAACTGTTTGAAATCGGGGAAAACAACCTTGCTTATTATATACATACGTATGTAGAAAGGTGAAAAAACGACCCAGCCAGCAAGGAAACGTATGTTTTGTGGACCATGCGTCTTTCGTACATTTTTCTATCCGTAAAACAACAGAAATTCATCGGTTATTGAAAATTCGGCATTTTAAAGTATTTTATACTTTTCTTAAAAGAAAGCTTCAGCAACCGTGTTTTAAAAATTTTTAAATTGTGACAGAAAAATTAACAATCTGAACATTTTCAAGAAAAAAAAACAGTCCAGTGTCTTTACTGAACATTGAAAAATATTGTTAGTATATAAATGCTAGATATTATATGTATATGAATTAGTTTTTAAAATGAATTAATTTTTCTTAACTTACAGATAGTCACCGTGGTATCCTTTCGTTCGCGTTTTTCCTTTGGAAAATTCAACACTCACTAACCTTGTAGGTACACATTTGACAGTACCCTTAAATTTTGGTAGGTCTGTATACTAAACTGTTATATTCTTATGACTTCTGTTAAATTTATATGTATGTATGTAACTAGCGTTTTTTCTTTTATAGAAACTCGCGAAGAAAAGCGGAGGATTTAGAATAAATTNTACCCTTAAATTTTGGTAGGTCTGTATACTAAACTGTTATATTCTTATGACTTCTGTTAAATTTATATGTATGTATGTAACTAGCGTGTTTTCTTTTATAGAAACTCGCGAAGAAAAGCGGAGGATTTAGAATAAATTAACAGAAAATTAAATGAAACTAAGCAAAAAATTAAAGAATAATGTAAATGTCCTATATATTTACAACCATACAATGAGATCACTAATTATTTTCCACGTTTCAGCTCACTCATAATGCACTGTCTGCCTGCTTGAGTTTTGTCCTCGATATTTTAAAATTGCAAGTAAAAAACTGGTATGTGCATTTGGCCAGGCCCAATTACATTACAGAAAATTTGCGAATCGCTGAAGATGGCTAGTAAATTGTAGAGCCTTTTCAATTTCTTCAAATCTAAAACGCTTCTTGTGTGATTATATTCCATTTTAAATTTTATCAGCATTTCAAAAACTTAATAGACGCGAGTAGACTCCCTCAACATTGAAAACATTTAATACGTATGTACATACCTATGTATGTCATGATGAGTTAGGCAGGACGTATGAGTGATGAGTATGCAACTATGTATGTACTTGTATGCAGGTGGAGTAGGAACTAATACCATAATAACGAGTACGATAATTAATTTTGTTACTGTCGTTACTATCGTTTTCGCAATACTTCCCTTTTTGAGGGTTTAGAGGCTAAACCGACTCCGGAATCGGATTAAGCATGTCAAAACACGTTTTGACAGATGGGTCTGTTCAAAATTATAGACCAAATTTTTGTTTTTGTGCATCGCTGTTATTATTAAATATTACACATGTAAGGCATCTGTTACTTAAATATAGCTTAAACAATAAAAAGACGTGCGAAGTCTGAAGCAACGAATGTACTTTCATCTATAAACGATACTCTGAAAATAAATTATAGTCTACTAAATATACATTTTGCTGAGAGGAACTCAGATAAAGATGATTACGTGGATATATCTAATATAGATATTGAAATGATAAATTCAGAAAATTCGGAAGTAAAAGAAATAAAAGTTGCTAATAAAATAGCACATTGGATTTCGGAAACAATATCAGTCACTCCGCCACCAATAAATTATTAATGATTTTAAGAAATATAATCGCAGACCTTTCCGCTGATTACAGGACGTTAGTTAAGACACCATGTGAGGTCATTAATTACAAACTTCAATTTGGTGAATACATCCATACATGCATTATGGTGTTAAAGATGCATTGACTGATTTCATGCATCAGACAGTTTTCGAAGCTGATAATATTATGTGTAATGTAAATATTGATCGACTTCCACGTTTGCGGACCTTTTGCTGGCTGGGGATATTTAATACGTGCGCCGTGTACATAGTCCGGTAAGGCCCGAACATATACATACATATGTAGGGATAAAACGATACCATGGAAGTATCGATACATGTACTTGGAAGTAGCATCGAAACAAAGTATCGATACCTACTAAGTATCGGGCTAAAAGTATCGATACCTACTTATATCGATATTTGTAACTATAAGAATTGGTTGTATAAAAAAACGCTATCACATATCTATGAATTTTTGTCAAAATAACTTATGCGATAATTATTTGTGATTTTAGGCGAATTTTTAAGAAAAACTTTAAGTTTTAAAACATGCTTTACTAGGATGGCCTCCCAAAATACAAGTGCAAAGTCCAATAAGTTCTTTTTAAAAAAGTTCACAGAATTTTGTTAACATAATTTTCCTCTTTTTTAAGTACGAAAACGATTGAAATCAAAAATAATTATTTTATAATTAATTTCATACAAATTAATTATTTACTAAAAGTTATCTCTATTACAACACTGTTCAACAGCAGTTATGCAAAGTAACTATGGTATATTTCTGAAAGAAGTAATCATGTTGACAATTTTTGGAGGACAAATTTACAGTGTAGTGTAGGCATTCATATCGCTAGCTTACAGTGAAAAATTGCTAAGTCCATTTGAAGAAAATTACAAGATTTAGAATTTTTTGAGAGTTTTCCGATTTTTCTGTGCCTCTCTTGGACTTAGCAAATTTGGCTTTAATTGAATACAAACGGATAGAAATAAAACAAGCACGTTAGTTAGTCCTTTTGGAGACGTTGCGCTTTTAATTCACCTTGCTTCCTATATCCAAATATGAGTTTTCACAAAAAGTGGACTTAGCAACTTTTCACAGCTAGCGATATGTTATAGAGATGAAAATAGGTTTTTCTTTGTAGGCCTTTTTTTCATTGGCAACTAAGCTGCCAAATTTTTAACTATTAACAATAAAAATTAGATTTGAAAATAAAATTGTCACTGAATCGGGTTTCGATACAAGTACTTTCTTCCGATATCTACTCAGTACTCGGTTCGCAAGTATCGATGCCAAAATTACTTGGTATCGGACGAAAAGTATCGAGTATGTATTTGTATTTTTACTATGTAGTATCGTTTTGTCCCTATACATATGTACTTCTTTATTTGTTTTAATAATTTTTGATTGCGAATACTTCGACTATGTCGGATCTAATGCTATGCAGAACTTACGCTTGGATCCCGTGTTATGTGGAATGCACGCAATGCTGTAGTTAACAGTTGTTCCAGGGTATATGTACGCGGCACACTAATTACCCGATATAGTTGACGTCTGAATGAATTGTTACCATCAAAAACTTTGACCATTTCTGAAAAATAATGAATTACATACATACAAATGTATATAATAAAGTATATATTAGATTTTTTGCATCTACATGCTTATGTATGTATGTATTAGGGCCGGGATTACCCGTATATTCGGATATCCGGATGGAACAATTGTTATTTTGTGATATCCCGTCCAGATTTTTTTATCAGATATTCGAATATTCGAATTATCCTGATTTCCAAAAAATCCGAATAGAATGCCCACTCCTAGTATGTATGTACATTAGAGTGGTAAAAAAGTGAGGTCCGAATTTTAATGCTCTCACCCCCTCGGAGTCGAAAAATTATACCCCTCTTTTTATTTTGATATCAACAATTATTTAGAGATCACTGAAAGCGCTCAAAGTTTTCCATGTATTTTATATGTGGAATAACCACTTTTCGTAGAAATGGTATGGAATTCTAGAAAATGAAAATTTTTCGATGGTGAAAACTCTGGTTCTCTTCAGGAGACTTCCAATAATGATTCCCAATTGTTTATTTAAATTTTTTGTTTAAACTAGCGATATTTTCTTGGTGCCCCCACTGCATTTTTTTCGGCGGACCTATAAATTATAGTTACTAAGAAAAAATTGTAAAATATACAATCGGATATTATTATAGGGAATCTCCTGCAGAGAAGCCGAGTTGTCCGTTCGAAACTGATTACTGATTTTTCCGAAAAGTTGTTTTCCCCATATTCAATACATGTAATACTTTGAGCGCTCTCGGTGACCTCTAAAAACTTTTTTATTAAAAAAAAAAATATCGGGGTAAATTTTTTCGGTATAGAACAATCCTAAGGAGTGAGAGCATACAAATTCCGACTTGAATTTTTCTCATGCATTTTTGGACTACCCTAATCTACATACATACGTATTTTCAATTCATGCTTACCAATATCCTTCTCTTCACTTTCTTTCTCCTTTTTGGTTTTATCCTTATCTGACTTTTCCGATTTATGTGAAGTAGATTCGGGCCGATAGTGCGATGATGTGCCACTTCCGCCACTGACGGCACTAGCGTGCATTGCGTCAGTTTTGTTGACCGATTCTTCATCTTTGAAGCGTGGCGTATCGCCGCTACTGAACTCCTCTGATATACTTCGCGCTAGGCAGTTATTGGAGTGTAAGTATTTGAATTAAAATCAAATTGGCTTCTTAAAAACAACATTACAAAACAATTAAACCCTATTCAAATGGATTTAGTGAATACAGTACAGTTGTTACTTGCGTAAGTCAAATACAAAATAAAGACATACATATTCTTAAATATATATATTTTTTAATATTGTTAGTAGATATATAATAAAACATATTAGAGTATCAAACGTCTTTAAATGAAAAGAAAAAGTTGTGTCATTTTATTAATTTATGTACGTTAAGCTGGAAAAGTCATTTTGCCTCGGAGGGATAAGTTTATGTAATCCCAGTGTTTCAAAGCGTATGCTCTTACAAGGAGAAACACTCAGTTATATATATTTAGGTTACTCAATAAACTCAAGCCGATGGCCAGAAACTCCTCCTACCAAGCGTAGTTAGTATTTTACTAGTTAGTTTTTAAAATGGTATATAGATTAGTAATATCTATGTTTAACAAATAATGGATAACGATAAAGTGTGTGATTTGAATGCATATGAGCGTATGTATGTATGCAAGTAGATGATTATTTTATAAAATAATAAAAAGAATAACAGCAAAGGTGCAGGAAAGAGTGTAAATTAAAATTAATTTGTGCTAATATGTAAATAGATACATATGCATGTATGCATGTATGCAAGATACTCACAAAAAAAAAAAAAAAAACTAGAAAAAACCAAAGACGAAAGTTGAGAAATAACATAAGAAAGACATCGTTGAAAGCGCTGCACGTAAATACGAACCGATGTATACATCATCTAATGCACAATTTACATATTACGTCAGTTCCCTGTATTATAAAATACTAAAACACATTTATTTTTTACACCATCCAATCAGTTGGCTTCGAAATAGTTTATATGTATGCCTATGTGCATACGTACCCTGCAGGAAATGGATCTAACTATGAGCTAACTTTAAGTTGATTGCGAAGGAGCTAAAAGTCACTTATTATCTGTATATTTTATTTTCTTTCTAACTATATTTCTATGGCGATGACCGCGAAATATTCAAGGGTGGTTACCTCTGCATTTGAAGTAACTAATTTGTAACTAGCTACTTTTGGACATAAAATATCAATAGGAAAAACAAAATATTTTTTATAATTTTTTATTTTTATTTACTTTATGTATTTTATTACGTTTCATATTTGTTTACATGTTCTCCTGTAGGTGGTACCATATTCAAACTCCGTCAGGCATAACTTCAAAATGATAATATGAAATTTCGATCTCCCTTTTATTTGTACTCAATTCTAAAATTATTTGCGAAGTGCAGGATATTTAAATAGAAACGCATTTAAAGGAAACAATCTCGAGCTTTACTTGTCCACTTGTTTCAAGTTAGCTTTTTGTAGCTAACCACAAGTTATATATTTTATAGAAATCCCGCATAAAAGCTAACTACAAGTAGGTTATTTTTTTACAATTGATAATTTTTTTCTGCAGGGTATGTACATAAACATATACATACACAATGTGGTTCAGAAAAGAGTAGCCAAACACTCACATAATTTTTACTGCCGTTTTTTAAATACGCATTCGCATGCATTTGTTTACAATTTCTGCACAATGCTAGCCTAATGTTGTTGGCATACCTAACACTTGTTTCTAGCAGTTTCACGGAACCTACATACATAGGTAAATATGAATATATAAAGGAGTTTTCAATAAAGACTCGACAACTTTTAGTTTCGCCTGAAGTTAGACTTCTTTAATTGTGTTTATTATACTTTTTATATGTATTAAAATATTACAATTAAAGTTGTGAGAGAATTTGGTGGCTTTTGATCTGTACATACAAGCCTGAATGTTTGTATGCAGTGTTGGCAAAATGTTAATCTGATTAAGGTTCAAAAATTAACGATTAAAATGTTAATCGCGATTGACGATTAAAATTGATTAATCGTAATCAACTGTGCGATGAATTATTAAGTTTTTATCATCATTAGTCGCTGGCTGCGACTACGATTAATAAATTTTAATCATTAGTCTCTAATCCAATTAAAAAGAAAATCTGATTAAGTTGTCTAGTTTGTTCGAATTTGAAACCAAACACCAGTTATCGAAATTATTTTGTGTTTGACGCTTATAAAAAGCACATAATATAAAAAAATTATAATAATTGTTATTAGTAATACATAACCTGGGAACATTCACAGCCAAGCGCACATGTGCATCTTAATGAAAATGCACACCAGATTGCTTAGACTGATGAGGAAACTCGACTTAACCTGATTAACTGGCTTTGTGAGCACAGGAAAATTCCAACATAAATTAATCACCAAACCTACCTATTCAAATTAAGGGTTAAGGGTTAAAAATTAGTATTTTTAATCGCGGTTACGATTCACTATTTAATCAGATTAAAAAAAAAATCCTTATTAACTGTAATCGGATTGAATTTAATCGAATTAACTAATTGATTAGAAAATCAATCGATTAGTGCCAACACTGTTTATATGTACATTGTATGTATGAATGTTTTGTATCTAAATAAATTAGAAAATATAATACATAAGTCATGCTTGTGCAGCGCTTTCGGTTTTGTTAATAATTAGAGGGTTTAATTAAAATAAAAACGCAAACAATAAGAATTAACACTGCATACAAATACATATAAAGGAAAATACAAGATAACCACAGTATTGATCAAAAAAAAATCATCGCTTAGAATTTTAAGGATTTGACGAAAATATGGCTTTTGAAAAGAACTGAAAACATAAATCACCTCTGCGCTTGTAGTAGCGGTGCTTTCGCCACCCTAGCGACAAGCACTGCATGCGTCGCAACAATCGGCCGAAGACGTGCTCTTCGTTGTCACTATTGCGCGAACGACTGCGACTGCTGCCGCCATCACTAATGTCACCACCTGCGGCGTCGTCGCTAGCACCACTAAATGGCCTATCGTCCAAATATCGATGAAAAGTCATTGGACTGCTTGCCCCACTACTGTGCACCATGTGAAGCTGTGGTTGGGTTTCCACATGTCCCACAAAATCATCGTCGAACTCCTCTTCATATTCATCATCGTCATCGGTGCAGACTCGACGCCTTAGACCGCTGCGTACATCCTTCAGTGTGAAATAGTCATCATCATATGCCTGATAGTTACCGTCCTCATCCTGAATTGTGATCTCTATACTTTGCCTCCCTCTATCTAAGCTATATGCACTTTTTGAAGTTTTACTGACGGTGGAAGCAGGTTCGCTGGGACGTTTTTTTGAACGGCGGCGAAAAAGTCGCGCGTACTTCTTTTTGCGCGCTGTGGTTCCTTGGTAAGCATATTGCTTAACACCCGGTTCTTGGAAAGACTTACTGCGTCCTACGGCAGAAGATTGCACTTTCAATGGATCCGCCGGTGTGGGCGAATGTGAAGAGCAATCGCTGGAATTAGGCGAGCAGCTGATAGAGCCGCCCTTAGCTGGAATACCCTTGAATGGGTTGAGGTTGTGTGTTTTTGCTTTCAATAAAGCACCAGTCTTAGAGAATTTTTCGTGTACGTTACCTCGACCACTTTTTTGAGTAGACGGTGCATGCCTAACCAATGTTTCGGTGGCGATAATTGGTGGCGTTTCGTGGGCACTTACTGCTAATGGCACGTTTTGAGCATTTTTGTGTTTATCACATAATCTATAACGATTCTCTATCGATGTGTTACTATTACTACTGTTAAAGCTTAAATTACTTATAAGATTCATACTGGAGTCAATGTCAAAATCGTCAGTAGTCGTTACTTCGCCGCCTGTATCAGAAGTTTCATAGAAACAGTCGCGGCGTGGTTCTTTACCTGGCTTCGCTCCAGTTTCTGAACTACCGCCAGTTACCCTAGTAACTTCTTTACCGACTAATCGATCGCCAGCTTTGCGAAACGTGCTTTCTGCTGAGTTAATCTCAAAATTATCATATTCGTCGCTGATTTCGCCGCCACTCACATCACATACACCCCCATCCTCTTCCTCGTCCTCCGTATTTGAAGAAAGGTGCTTGCGCGATATTGGCCGTGTACGCCGCAGGAAGTTGGTATAATATATTTGGCTCGATGTTGTCGCGCTGCCCATTTGTATAGCACTGTCCTCATTGAAATCGTGGCATAGAGAAGTGTCCACATGCTTGCACTGTTCATCGTCATCTTCGTGTTCTGAACTTCGAACTGAATGCGAAACGTGTGATAATTGCGGATAAAGTGTTGATAAGGGTGAAGGCGATGTTGGTGTGGCAACCGGTGATAGCGATGAGGGAGTAATGGACCGAGGGGAAGATGAAAGTAGAAAATTTTGTTTTGATTTCTCTCGCCGTTGTCTTTCAATAAATAAAATCTCTTTTAAACTTAATTCAGGAGTATTATTTGCATCTTTAATTTCTTTTCTTTCAGTGCATTCAATTGCGATCATGCTGTTTGCGGATGAGCTGATTGCAAGGCAATCTATTGTTCTCAGATCAGCTAGAGTTTTAACACGATTTTAGAAATCAAGTGGAAAAAGGAAATAAAATCAAAATAAGGGAAACAAAACGTGTAAATAAGAATAATAAAAAATAAAGCTATTTCGTTCGATTGAAAAAAACCCGGCAGAAACACATTTCAATGTCTGTATGTATGTAGTTATGTACATACTTACATATGTATACACATATTTATGTTTTTAGATAGGCACCTGTAGTACTGGGACAGTATGTCGCATAAATACATCCTGGACATAATTAGAGCATTGTATGTATGTATGCACATTTATTCTTTTTTATATGGATATTTAATTGCACACGTGAATTCTTTAATTACATAAAGCCAAAAAGTTCATTCGAGTCTCCAGTATTTAAGACAAAGAATTTTTATTTATACATCTTTACTACATAAAATGTTATATTAAATAGTTAATTTATTTCGAAGACTGCGATCTAAAGTCTACAAGCCAATGCAGCAAACCGACATAAAAATGAGATTAAGCTTCTAGTATGAAGATATGTAACTAAAATTTGTGGCAATACATACTTACATATGCATATTTAGTTACTCGCATTTGAAATTTATTTAGGAATTATTATTTTTGTCAAATTCTGCATTACAGTAGATTAGAAGTGGGAGTGCTTAACTAATCTTTTTCGTTTGTATTAACCATTGATTTAATGGATAGTATTATTTGCATATATATACATACATATGTACATGCATATTTAAAGAAAATAAAATTAAATATGTAGTTCCTGAGCTCTTGTGATGAGAAAGGGAATGGCACACTGGGTACATGAAGCATGTAAAGCGAAAAACTTTGTATTAGTATAGTCATATTAGACGAATTTTTTGATGGTCGTTAATCCTTTTTGAATACTGTCAGCAAGGATGATACGTAACCATTTTTCTAATATACGGGGATACACATTTTAAGACCCCAACTACACGATGCGCAAACGTTACTACCCCTACATTTAAAGAGCCAAGTACCACGGTGTTTAGCCGCTTGGGCCGCTGTTCCGCTGAGAATATTGAGATTTCCAAGGTTTCGACCGTATGACAGAAAATTTTGTTGAAAGACTTGAAGATGTTCCCTTACAAAGTGCACGAAATGCATCAGCTGTTAGCCGAGCACGAGAAAGACAAGCCTCAGCCTTGTCAACCTCGATAACCTATCACTACAAGTTCTGGCAATAGTGATGGAAAATGTCATAAGTTGGGCCAGTAGGGTTATCAATTCTGGAGGTGGCCACTTGAACGACATGAATTTTTGCGCCACCAAGCGGCTTAAAGTTGTTAGTCGGGCATTAAATTTTTTCATGGGACCTTCTAAGCTCTTAACTTCGACTACATCTTTACGACACGGTGTTGGAAGAATAACATAGAGGGATAAAAATATTTAAAAAATAAAAAAAAATCTTCTGCAGATTAATGAGGTAAGCGTAAATACCAAAATGAGGAAACAAATTTGAGCATAGTGTGGTTGGGGACATAAAATGGCTCTTTCGCTGTGTGAAAAAATGCTTACCAAACCTACGTATTTTCGACGTGGCCTTAAGGCATCCACACACCTATGCGATTCTGTTGCAACGAATCCGCACCGTTTTTGATGTTTTGATTTTAGCGCAGCAAAAACTGTCAATTTATAGACAAACAAAAAATATTTTTCAACAAAAATAAAATTATTAACTTTTCTACATCAAATATGTTTTGTTGTCTTACACTCAATTTTGTTTTAATATCGTAAAATCCTTCTATTGACTTTTTTCGTTCTCAAAATGCGGCAGTCTGCGATTCCGGCACGACAAAAAGAAAAATTGTGAAAGTTCGCTGCAGCAAAATCGTACAAATGTGAGGTTCCTCATTTAAAACTATGGTCGGCAATGTTGTAATTTTTGTCGGAACAGATTCGCACCGACAGAATCGCGTAGGTGTGTGGATACCTTTATAGTATTCAAAAAGAATTGAACATCGCGAAAAAAAGCAACAAGTACAATTTTATTTACTCACTTTAATGATTTTATTTGTATGTATGTAAGTTGAACTATTTAAGTATGTATGTATGTATGTAAGTATTACTTAAATGAAATGGATGGAAGTTATCGTTTTTGGAATGAGAAGAGTTGTGATTTTACAACTTAAAGTATGAAGTGGTGTCGTTCAGAATTTTTGTATAATTTATTTATTTATAGTAAGTATACCATATACTACTCTTTTTATTTAAATAGAAAATCATCCTAAAAATCAATGCTTATTTTAGCGGCCAAATGGTAGATGTCTTTAGTACTAAAGTCAAATGATTTATATATTTTTGTTGAGGTTCAAATTAAGTTCAATCTGTTGGATTAGATCTGCTTGTTTTTATGCAGGTTAAGTCCGCTTTCAACAACAACAATAAAATACACAAATTTTTCTCTCGATTTTTAATTAAACATTCAACAGCAATTTATGTAAGTATTTCAGTACAACATTGTATGGCAAAATCAACTTTTTTCTGAGTATTGGACCAAACCAATTTTTTTTTTTAAGAGATTGAGTCATAGGTAAGACAGCGATTTCTCCGTTTTTCGAAGTTGGCCTCCGAAATCGAGATATGGGCCGTCGAAGTTCGAAATAGGACCTTTGGTAAAAAATTATATTTAATTATTGCAATCCTCCTTTCCCTCTTATGTTACAGGTGCTATAAGGGATCAAAGTTCAGGTCTTCGAAAAATTAAATTCCTTATAGTGCAAACAATTTTGAACTGATTTTTTTTTAAATTTATATCGGTTTAAAGGTGATTAAACCCCCTTTCTTCCGATATGCATATTTGTATACTTCGTATATAAAAATTTAGAAAAAAAAAATTAAATGAAAAAATACATTTTTTTATAAAAAAATGTTGTAANGTTCCGATATGCATATTTGTATACTTCGTATATAAAAATTTAGAAAAAAAAATTAAATGAAAAAATACATTTTTTTATAAAAAAATGTTGTAAACAAAAAAATTACTAATAGTTTTTTAAAAAATTTGTATCGTTATAAAGACGATTAAACCCGCTTTCTTTTGATATGCATATTTGTAAACTTCGTATATAAGAATTAAATAAAACACATTTAAAGGAAAAAATACCTTTTTTTATAAAGAAATATTTTAGACAAAAAAATATTAACCGAATTTAAAAAAATTGGTATCGCTGTAAAGGCGATTAAACCCCTTTCTTCTGAAATGCATATTTGTATACCATATCTCGATTTCGGAGGCTAACTTCGAAAAAAGGAGAAATTACTTTTTTTACTTATTTATGAATCAGTCTCCTAAAAAAAGTTGGTTTGGTACAATACCCAGCCGAGTGATGTGCTGTACAGTGTAGTTAAACACTTATAGCGATGAGTCAAAATTTTGAGTTGTAGGTAAAATTTTATGGTTTGAACGAAAATTCCCACAATTACATCTGACAAAACAAATTACATATCTCGTATTCGGATAGTTCCCAATCATTATTCTAACTGGTAACCAATCATAAGTGTAGTTTAAGACGGCATTGAAAAAAAATTGGGAATTGCACATTTTTCTGTGCGTTTGACTGAACTTCTCCTACATTTTCGATGGCTGAGTGGAAGATCGACCTATCTCGGCAGTAAGTTCGAACACGCCCTATCTCAGAAAACTTTTCAAGAACGCCCTACTTCAGGATTTGGTTGAAGAGCGCCCTATCTCAGCTGTCGATTCGATAACACCCTGTCTCAAATGAAAATGCATTGAAAATGTGCTGAGATAGCATAATTCAATAATAAAAGGTTTGCTCTGGGTTTGCTCAGAAAACGGTTTTCTCGCTCCCTCTTGACAAAATCGGCCACATTACCAAGGCACTGTGTGTGATTTGTGTGTGTGTGTGCAAAGCTTTCGTAAGGGAGTGTCAAAACTCGAATGTCAATAGTGAGCAAGCCTTTAATTATTGAATCATGCTGAGATAGGGCGTTTTTGAATCGGCAGCTGAGATAGGGCGTTCTTCAACCAAATACTGAGATTAAAACCTTAATATAAAATATTATTTACATTTTATTGAGCCAATTTACATATAAAGTTGTTTGCAAAAAGTCTATAGTAACGTTTTAAATTTTGTTGGCTATTAACAAAATCAGAACAAAAAATGGTATTGCGATGATTCGAGTTATGAAATAAAAGGAAAAACTAATGGCAAAAATTAATTTATGCTCATTTTACAGTACCATTTCAACTTATGTTATTTTAATGTTAAATCTTTCAATTGTTATGGAAAAGCTCAAGTTTTGAAATGACGCAAAAAGACGCCGAAACATGTGAACTTAGTTCTGGGTCGCATGTAGATTATAGACCTGTGTACCGTTTTTCTAGACCTAGTCATTTTCGCAAGAAATATTAATTTAAATTTTTGAAGGAAAAAAATCAAACTTTCGCAGGGAAAAAGTTAAAAATAACAAATTGTAAAATTCGTTTAGTTATATCAAAGCTTGTTCTTTAATAAAGTTATTCCAGCAAACGAGGGAAATCTACTCTTAGTAATAAATTATTATGAAAATTCTTTTAACAAATTTAATTTTTTAACATTTCCAAAAAAATTTATATGTAAAAAAAAAATTAAAATTTTACTACAGGAATTGCCAGTATTAAACCATGTATATACTTATCCATACACGGACAGTTCGTATACACATATATAAATATCCAAGTCTCTAACCTTTTGGCCGATGCCGAGGCTATTTATTATCGGCCAAAAGAATCGACAACGGCCGAATTTGGCCGATTCTTGGATGAGTTCAGTTATTTCGTTATTTGATAATGTTTTTCTTTTGTTATTATACAAGTTTATAAAAGCTTTTGTTCTTGAAATTAATTTATATTCAGGGTTTAATCGGCCGATGCCAATTCTTTTGGCCGATACCAGCCTCGGCATCGGCCGATTAAGCGGTCGAACTCTACTCTCATTTTTCTAATACAAAATTTTACCTACAACTCAGTTTTAATGCT